CGTCCGCTCAGAGTCCAGCGCGCGCGCCGACCTGGCCGACCTGGAGTGTCTGCTGCTGGACGCCCGCTCGCGGATCGTCTCGATCGGCGGCGCTGCCGAGCAGGACTTCATCATCGCGGCGCTGCCGGTGGACGCCGACATGGTGATCGGCCTGCAGCGGAGCTCCGTGGAGCTGCCCTGGGTTTGGGCCGGCGGCGAGCCCGTCACCTTTCTGCCGTTCAAGAGCGACGAGCCCAAGGACGACGACGACCGACTGTACGTCTTCATGGAGAAGACCGGCGGCTGGAAGACCAAGAAGCCCAGCGACAAGGCCCGCTTCATCTGTCAGATCCCGTTCTGAGCGACTAGTGGCGGGATCAGCCGTTCGAATGGTTGACGAGCTGCGCAGGAAATGGCAGTTCTTTCTCTGACGGTTAATGCTTAGTAGTGCGTGTTTAGAAGGATTTGCTGAAATATCTGTACTGATCTTGAATACATGAACAAAAGTTTGCCGATGATACGCACCTTTTTGTAGAGGAGCTTGAAAGCATATGGTTGTATGTACGAATCGACAATACAAATCGGCAAATGCGCATCTATCTATGTACGATGAATTGTTTCACCCGCCCCTTCCTTCCGATTTCAGCTGGCTAATGCTACTTACCACGCATATCACCATATGCGTGCTTACAAGCACACTGTCATCAATTTTCAGCACTGGTAATTCACAGTGGCCGATGGTCAGTGTCACCTTCACGGCCAAATCGTTAGTGATTTATCCAACTCCGCCCGTGTACGCATTGTTTGGCATTGTGTCGTATTGCTTAGTTCTGTCCACCAAAATAAATCATGGCTTTCAGAGCATTGGTTCAAAGAGAACAGCCTTGAATCCACAGGTCAATGGTTCAAAGTTGAAAGCCTCACACCGGCCACACCAGGCGCCAACACAGATTTTGCGGACGCGGTGATGCGCACGTCCTCCTAAAGACCGTCTTGCCGGCTGGGTATGGGTCTGGCAAGGGTTTTACAGCAGGGGAAGGGCCGCTTGGTGTCTCACTTGTTCTGTTCTTGTTCTCTAGAACAGCAGTCGCTGAATTCCAGTCTTCATTGAGCATTTCAACCGACGGTGTTTTGATGTTGCCTGTAATTGTTTGTTCAAGAGTTTGGAGCCCCACAATTTCATTGTTGAATTTAATTTCTTCGGCGGGCCGTTGACCCTCAGCGACCGGCACTGCACTATTAATAGTTTGCACGGCGACTTTGATATAATTAGGCAACATTATGCCCAAGGCTACCCAGCTGACAACCACTCATTTGGAGATGATTGAACTTTGTCATCCTATCATCTGCTAGCACCAATACCGTTTCCAACAACTAATTAAGTAGAGAAAGAATATATTATGTCCCAACGAATAACCATAATAAATCAAATGTTTATGAATACAATCACAAATAACCATGAAGCTTTCGTTATGAAAATACCTTGGGTCGCCTTAACCCTCGCCCATGTAGGGGGGGGTTGGTGCAACCCCCCCCCCTGAGGTTTTTCGGAAATAGTGCAAAAACGGCGGCGCGCAGCGCCGCCAAATTTTGGGTACCTTATGGGGCAAACCTTGCGCATCTTTTGATAAAAAAAATTTGACCGGGTCATGTCAGGTCACGGAGTTATGACGTCACAAAGGGAACAGCCTCCGGCCGGATTTTCACAAACTGAGTGCCAACGCCCGAGGTTTCCTGCCGGTGGTACGGAGATCGGTTGATGGATCGTGATGAAACTTCCCATGCATATTGGGGCAAGTATTGGCTATCATATGGTATAAGAAACTTGACCGGGTCAGGTCAGGTCACGGAGCTATGACGTCACAAGAGGAACAGCGTCCGGTACTATTTTTGAAAAGCGCCCGAACCACTATTTTGCTAATTCTTGTCACCTCAATGGGAATATGCAGCAATATTAGCTTCTATAGGGAGCAAATGGACCTCCCAAATCCAAAAATGTAATCAGATTTCAAAAATTTAAATTTTGACTTTTCGAATTTCTGCCGCCGACTGTGACCTTGCCGACTTCCGGCGCTCCCAACGCGCCATTTTTAGAGCTAGGGAAACGAAATACATACCAAACGATAGAGAATTGATCAAGGAACACGATAGTGAAGGTTTCAAGTCGATATCTCCCACCGTTTTGCCGCAATCGCCGCCGAAAGTTGAAAAAAGTCTATTTTTCCGAAAATTTGACCTTTGACCGGTCAAAAGTAGGTCAAATGTTGACCTAGGACCAAAAAATATACCACCAATCGCGAGATCTTGGCGAGAGCAATCCGTTGGTCTTTTCCGCTAAGCTCTACGACGCTCCGTTTTCAAACGCCAAGGGGGGGTCGCACCAACCCCCCCCCCCTGCATGGGCGAAGGTGGCAGATCGCCGTTTACGGGCGAGGGTTAAACAGAAGGAAAGTCAGAAATCTCAGAAATAGATGTCTCCGAATTCCGACCTCCTTTTCGTGTATACAGTGACCAAGGTATTTTCACGCCGAAAATGTTGTGTGCGATTTGTTATAATATGCTTTAGGGATTTGATCTATTATTGTTACCTATCATCTCATAGTTGCACTACATATGTACACTCGGGGGCAGATAGATGTTCCACCACTCCCTACCCATCGGGCTCCCATGGCTCAGCACTGGCTGCTGCCAGTATTGCCTGTCCTCAGCACTGCTCAGCACTGCCTGCCGGTGCCAGTGCTGCCAGTGCTGCCACTGGCAGCAGCCAGTGCTGAGCCACAGGAGCCCAATGGGTAGGGAGTGGTGGAACATCAATCTGCCCCCGAGTGTACATATATTATGTCATGCAGTGTACACGCACCTGTTGAGCATTGAAAAGATGATACGACCCGTTATACCCCGCGAATTTTGATATTTACTTGCGATGAGGGATCGATAATAGAACATCAGAACATAATACAACATTAGGAAATGTGCAAACTTCGAACCGCTATGGAATCACAATCAGACCCTTCTGAACTAAGCGCTTACGCTACCTCTCCTCGCGCACCCGACTTTGAAAGGGATTATGTAGGAAAGCTCATCCATGATCTATCATCTAGGTCAGCCGTTCCGTCGTTTCCATCCTGAGGATAGTCGAATTACTCTCCTCCACGCCTCCACCCCCTGTTCCGGGTGTGACGAACAAATTTATTCCATGCAGAAAGCCCACGCAGAAAGCTCCCCTAGGAGCACTCCCGTAGCCGGGTGCGGTGACCGTGCGGTGACCGTTGGGTGGCCCGTCCCTTTAGACAGGCTCAGCCCCGACGGCTCACTAGGGTGCCCGCCCAAACCAATGTCTACCCCTAATTCTTATCATGCTTCCGGCTCTGGAATGATATTGTTAGAGCAAAAGGGCCTAACCAGTCCAAAAAAGGAAATCATCTGGGTACTGTAAAAGCTTGTAGCGATCATTTTCCTGAATTGTTGACGGGAAACGATGTTTTCTCGTCTGCCGTGTCGATGAAAAGTACCTACCTGGTGGACTGATGCGCACACCGCCACTGGTTTTAACTGCTGTCGTCTGTACTGCACTTCTGTGACTCTGACTGTCACCGCGTGCTGTGCACACAGACGAGTTCTCGCTGCTGCCGTCTCCGGGCCTGGCCGAGCACTGGTCTCTAGACCTGCCGGCGCGTGGCGTACTGGCCGTCAGCGCCACCGGTGCCAGCACCGCCGTCAGACACGTGAGTGGGCGACTGGGCCGGGCGGAGATGCGTGGGGTCGGCGCTGGACCGGGCGGAGATGCGTGGGTCGGCGCTGGGATACGAGTCGGGGTTTGGGAGACATAGTATGAGTTGATCCGCGCTGAACCGGCGCGAGAGGTGACACCCCGCCGCGGGACCGATGTTACACGGTCCATTTAGCTGGAATCAATAAGCGGCCTGGTTCCGGATCGTGGACATAGTTATCACGTAATTGCCCTCCACTGTTACATTCGGTTACCCAGACATCCGGAGTCGCTCGTTCGACTTTGCTTTCAGCGTAATCGGTCTGTATCTGTCCACAGTACTGTTTTTACGACTCTGAGGGCGCCGAGAGTCCCACCAGCCACCGGCGACACCAGGATAATTACACGGTGGACGCTCTGCGCTACCTGCGCCTGGGCGCGCGGCCCAGCAGTCTCAAACAGTGCACCAGGTCAGCCATTGGCTCGCGGATGTCTTCTGTGCTGAGTTATTGTCCGAGACAGATGTCTTTTGTGCTGGCAGCGGTCTGTAATGTGTCTGTGTTACTGGTCTGTCGTAGACAGGTGTGCATTTGTTGATTACCACGCATTGTGTCGACAGCCGTGTATCCATCCGTGTCGACTTGGGTGCGTGCCGCTGACAGTAACTTGTCTGTGCCCGCCGCTGACAGGTGTCTGTGCCCGCCCCTGACGGTTGTCTGAGCCCACCATTGACAGGTGTCTGTGCCCGCCCCTGACAGTTGACTGTGCCCGCCGCCTGCAGTGTCTGTGCCCGCCCCCGACAGTTGTCTGTGCCCGCCACTGACAGTTCTGTGGCCGCCCCTGACAGTTGTCTGTGGCCGCCCCTGACAATTCTGTGCCCGCCGCTGACGGTTGTCTGTGCCCGCCCCTGACGGTTGTCTCTGCCCGCCGCCGACAGGTGTCTGGCCGTCACGTCGGCTCGCTCGTCGGAGCAGCTCTCGCAGGTGAAGAGCACACCAGTGACGCGCGCCTGGGACCAGCGCTGGACGCGCGCCTGCCTCTGCGGCGGCCATTGGGCGCTGCAGGGACCCCGGCTCACGGGCCGCGCCCGAGCCGCCTGAAACTGCATCCCCACCCCAATACAGACAAAACCGAGGCACATCAGCATGGCAAAGGTGAAGTGTTGCGATGTAGCCGCCACCGTGTATGTAAAGCAGTCCTGCGGACTTGCTGTTTATTTGTCCATTGTGTATTTAATGTATGCAGCGATTGTTGAAATGATTTGCGTAGCGTACGAAAGGTAGAAAATGGAAGCTCCCATGCGAAGAAGTAGTTATTTCTGCCCTCCGTGTCGTATTTTATTAAGATAATAAAAGCGACCAGGTCAACCAAGGCTTGGCGCTCGCTAAGCAGCGACCATTTCACAAACATGGCACATGTTTCGTTATAACTGAGTTGGCAAAATATCGGCGGATGCACCCGACAGTTCGCTGAGCTGGGCTACTGGCCCGCGTGCGACCCCCATTGGTCAGTGTCGCACCGGCTGCACCACGTGCCAAGACGGTCGCCAGCGCGATCCAGATGGAACAGACACATACACATCTACAGCACCACTCCGATCCAAACGGCGGGGGACATGCGTGATTCAAACGTGGCGCGGGACCGTACACCTTCAAACAGCTGGGCAGCGCGAGGTCGTACACATTCAAACAGCAGCGCGGGACCGTACATATTCAGACAGCAGCGCGGGACCGTAAAATCCAGAAACCGCCGAGCCAAGTCACCTCCGAAGTCCACATAGATATTACATCCAGCCACCAGCGACGCTCTTAGCAGACCCTCGCTCATCGTCAATTCACAACTGGCAAAGCAGCGAAGCAAACACTAACTAGGAGCACTACGTAACGAAAATACCTGGCGCCGCGCGCAGCGAGCGTGCACGAAGCGGGCTGAGGTGCCCGCTCTCACCCCCTAGAGACACGTATTATCCGTCAGGTACGAGGCGACGGGAACCGCTCGGGGCCGGCCGCTCTGCTTGGCAGCATTCGTAGATACAAAACGCTCGCCCGAAAAATATCGCCAAGGCACCTATAACTTCGAGCCGCGACGAATTGGCGCCGAAACAATAAAGGAACACCATACACGGAAATTGCACGTCTAGCCTCTACAACCTACTGGCTCGGTCGCCGTAGCCCCCCCCCCCCCCATTCGCTCTCGCTAACCAGTGTAAAACCAAATACCGCCGGCCCCAACAGGCGGAAACCAGCGCTGCACCATAGCAGCTCCCGTATTCCGTATCCGTAGACGACGCCGCGGATGCACATTGCCGTCTCACGGCTGACAGACCCGTCGCAATAGGTACAATTAGTAATGCCCACTCCGGGCAGCTGTAACTACTGAGAACGTGACTAACTGATGACTAGTCTATAACCAGGTGTCTACTGGCGTTAACAGGTACCCGGTGCAGTATCAGACGGCGCACCCTGTGCCCGGCGCGCTCAGGACCCGTGGTCGGTACTGCCTCCCAACACCTACAGCGCTACGGGGGCCGGCCGCGGGGCGGGCGCGGCCCCGTCAGGTACCGTACAGTCTCTCCCAGTCCGCCGGCCGCCGAGCTGGCGGCTGCTGGGCCGGCGGGCTGTGTATGGGTGGCGGCGCTCCATAAGCTGCGCCCCTAGGTGGCCGCCCCGGGGCCGGCCTGCGTGGTCTGCAGCACGCCATCCAGCAGCTGCAGCGCCCGGTGCAGGTTCACCTCCACCCAGCAGGGTGTCTCCTTGATGCTCTGCCGCCGGTAGTCGGGCCCCCAGCCCTTGACGAAGCTCAGGCGGAGGATGCAGAGCCGCCGCAGGTCGTCCACGCCGATGCCGGCCACAGAGGAGATGGAGACGGACGACGAGAGGCCGCCGCCGGCGCCGTCACCCTGTCCGTGGCCGGCCACAGCCGCCGCCTGCGCGGCCGCCGCCGCCGCCGCCTGCGCTGCCTGCTGCTGCATCTGCCGGTGGCACTGGTGCAGGTCGAACACCTTGATGTAGGCGGCCGGGTAGATTTTGTGGACGGCGTCGCCGGGCGCGCGGCCCGCCTCCCGGTCCAGGTAGTAGCTCTGCACGAACACGGCGTGGTCGCTCAGACAGCGCAGCCACACGTCGCCCTCGCCCTGCACGTCCAGTTGGACGCCCTTGCCGATGTGCAGCCTGCCGCCAAACGCACCAAATCGGAGTCAGAGGACACGTCCAGTGGGCAGGGACACAAAATAGAAGCGCGCGAGGTTTACTTCTAGTATTTCATGGGTGTTAATAGTAGAGACTTCAATCAAATTATTAAACTACAGTAAAGAGGCACGCACCCGTAAATAACAAGTCAGTAAGTAATTTGTAATTCACAACTACCATTGACCGAAGACCAGGCGCCTAAACCCTACCGAAATCTCAGAACATGCCAACACTTCACAATCGACCGGCCGGCGCTGCACGCGGCGCCCCAGGCCTCACCTGGCGCGTTCGCTCTGCTCTGTGCGGTGCACGTTGCTGAGGGCGCCCAGACAGAAGCGGCTGTCCCCGGATGGGTCCACGTAGCCGTCCACGGTGACGGACGCCATGCTGGAGGGCACTTTGAACGCCTCGCCCACCTGTGGAGCGACGCCTCGGGACGTCAGCCGTAATAATGGTGTAGCGTGTCGACAAACCACAACTCAGGACGTCAGCGATTGTAAAGAGCAGGCGGACAGGCACAATATGTCACGAACAGACAGGAATAAGGTGTCGCAGCAGTGAAGATAATACATGCGGTCCTGCTTGATTTCAGAGACAGTAACAATAATTGATACGGAAACTCCGCGCAACGTCAGAGACGATTGACAAAACGACAACGTAGGGGCGGGACCTGAGAGCTTGACGAATGGACAGGGTAGGGTTTTTTACTTACGGGAACAGGGTACGACATAACGTCAGAGATGGGAACGGAACAATATGGTACTGCGATGTCAGATGAGACAGGGTGTTGTAGAACATCGGGTACCGCGTTCCTCACTGGGTCCCAACGAAAAAGACTGGGTAGCCACGAACAAGGCATGGAATCGCACCACGAGATAGAACGAACTCTCATACAATTTAAAGTAAATGAATCCGCACTTTCGGTAACATGGAAACCGTAATTGGTTGTATGTCGGTATTCTCCAGACAGCTGGTAAGATCGCTCCAGACAGGTAAGGGGCGTGGCGTCTGGCGACACTCGCCTGCGTATCCAGCTCGAAGTAGCTGATGCTGCACCAGAACTCTGGCGGCGGTACGCTGGAGAGCAGCACCTGGGTGTCCTGGTGCTGGACGTGTCCGCCGGCGCCGCCGCCGCCGTCTGTCGGCACCAGTAGCAGCACCGTCAGCCGCTCCGCAGACACGTGAACACGTGCAACTGCACACACATGTGATCGTGTGACAAGGATTTCAGTGAATTCGAGCAAAGATAAAAAAATCAAAATGAGTCGCGGCATCGACGACAAATAGTGAGATGCACCAATATCCGGCCAGCGCGACGGCCCGTCGTCTCGCCGGGCGGCCGCTCACTGGGGCGCCACTCACAGTAGCCGGCCGGCCGGTCGGCGCTCAGCGTCGGCGGGTAGCTGAGGGTGGAGGTGGCGCCCGCGGGCCGCTCGGCCCGGCCCGGCCACGAGCCGCCGTACTGGGCCGGCGTGCTGACGGCCGGCGGCGCGCCGCCCAGCCCTCCGTACCCGTTGGCCGACTGCAGGTGCGGAGACAGCGGCGGCAGCGAGGACGGTCCGGCTGGCGGCACAGGGCGGAGCGGTCAAACGCGGGCAAACAGCTGCCGCCGGGCATCATGGACGCCTGTCGCCGACACACGACACACTAACCTGCTGCGCACCTGGATAACCAAAGCAGGCGCTGCAAAAGACCCACAGCAGCGCATTTATCATTACAACGTATAAAGTAAAACTATATGATATGCACCACTGACTGATCTGGAACTGGTGTACCGCTGAGCGTTCGCGGACTACGGACCCGGGGCGGGATGGCCGTGTACTGGTCCCGACTCCGGCCAGCAGCCCTACCGTGCGGTGCCGACGGCGGCCGGCAGTCGGGGCGCGCGCTTACGTGTGAGCGGCTCGGCGAAGGACGGCGAGTCTAGAGCGGCCGGACAGGGCGAGCCAGCGGCGGCGGCAGACGGCGACCCGGGCGCTGCAACACCGACACCGGCACACTGACACCCGGCACACTGACACACTGACACCCGGCGAGCGACACCGGCACACTGACACCCGGCACACCGGCACACTGACACCCGGCACACTGACACACTGACACCCGGACGAGCGACACCGGCACACCGACACACCCAGAAGCGCGCACTGACACACAGACAGCGGAGTTACGGGCAGGCCACACTGAACCTGAGCGCGGCACACGAGCCAGCACACAATGGCACACTCAGCAGAGGATACCAACACGTCGGTGCGATGCCCGACTAAAGTTAGTAGTAAGTAAGTAAGTAAGTTAAACGTATCACACCCAGCTCGTGTGGCCCAAGGTCTGAGTACTGAGTAGCGAGTGTCACATGACTGGCGTTACCAATGCATCAGCTGAATAATTTGTGTATGTACCGAAGCCCACTATCCGCATTATACCTCAGCCCCAGTTACACTTCAGCTGACACTGTCAAACCTCGCGGGACTGTTATCAGCAGCCACACCAACCCCAACCTAACCAGGGGAACCCACGTGAATCCATCCCGTTCAGTTACACCAAATGACTGAATCCGGGGGAAGTCATCCCAATTCCCATACCAACCCGTTCAGGCTTTTTTCACAAATTAAATCATTGAGCGGGAGTTAACCCACACCAATCCATCCGGGAGTTATAACCCCTCAGCACATTCCACGAAAAATTGTCCGACACTAGCACACCCAAAAGAACACCGAAATATCAATCTGGCATCTGTACGAAGAAATATAAAGCCCACACCGACACATCCAGCAGGAGTTATCCACAGCCCACACCAAAACATCCAGCAGGAGTTATCCACAGCCCACACCAAAACATCCAGCAGGAGTTATCCACAGCCCACATCAAAACATCCAGCAGGAGTAGCCCACACCATGAACATCCAGCAGGATTTACCTGACGCACAAACCAACACATCCAGCGGGAGTTTTCTGAAGCCCACACCAGCTGCAAATCCGGTAGGAGTTAGCAGCAGCCAAGAACAAGTCGGCTGACCCAGTGCACGGGCTCAGCCAGGGAAGGGTTGCAGCACGTCCAGCACTCACTCTGTGACGGCGGCAGGCCGAACGGCGGCGGCATCCCCAGCAGCATCGACTGCTGCTGCTGCTGCTGCTGCTGCTGCTGTCGCTGGGCGGACGGCGTGGGGGACAGCAGAGGGTCGCCGCAGCCGGACGGACCGCCGGCCTCGTCCCGGCCCAGGGAGTATTCGGTCTTGACGCCGGCCGGGCCCGGCTGGTGCAGCTGCAGGCCCGACAGGTCTGGCGGCCGGGACCGGGCACCCGGTCAGACATATCGGCACGCAGAGATAAACACCACAGTCAGACATTGGCCCAGGCGGCTGAACCCTGGCTCAGACCACCAGGCACCGAGTCGGACAGCCAGACATTGGCTGAAACAGTCCCACACCAGCTCAGTGACAGACATCAACTCACATGGCCAGACATTTTCGGTCATAAGAAGGCAAGACGGGCTGTAAAAATATAGCCTATATGACGCTGAGGCACTCGGCGTGTCCCAGCTCTGTGCAGAGCGCCGACACCTAATATGGTTCGTAGTGCAGGGGCGCCTCAGGTGCAGAGCGCCGACACCTAATATGGTTCGTAGTGCAGGGGCGCCTCAGGTGCAGCTGCCTCTCTCACCGATGCCCGGCGACACGACGCGCTCGTAGTGGTATGGGTTGACGCAGACGGCGTCCGCCTTCAGCTCGAAGCCGTACTGACAGAACTTGGCGTGCTTCAGCTCGTTCTTGTGCAGGTCGGGCCAGCGCCAGATCTTGGCGTACACCACATGAGGGAAGCCCTTCCTGCCAGCCACCTATAGCACACAGCACAGCAAGTTTGTCAGAGCACATGCACAGCAGGGGGGGGGGGGTACTAGACGCTGATTTACCTGTGAGGAGAATACAGAATATGTAGACGGAGTAGCGAGGTGATACGGACATATGAGAGAAAACGGCTTAGGAGTACTCCATGATTGATATCACTATAAACGGACCCGTTTATAAGGATTGTGAGGTGCGAGCCCGTTTTGTCGGGCCAAAACTGGTGGGGCCAGTTAGTATTCCAGTAGTAACACAGTCAGTCATAACGCTGGCGTTCACAGTTCGCACCCACCGGGCATAGTTGGTAGTATACCTGCAGCCGTCGAGTGAGCGCGGGATGGTGACACACTCTCTTTCTCCCTTCCCTCCTCTCCCCTCCCTACTGGTACCTGCAGGCGTCCGCCCAGTGTGCGCGGGATGGTGACACACTTGGTCTCCCCCCTCCCTTCCCTCCTCTCCCCTCCCCACTCGTACCTGCAGCCGTCCGTCCAGTGTCCGCGGGATGGTGACACACTTGGTCTCCCCCCTCCCTTCCCTCCTCTCCCCTCCCCACTCGTACCTGCAGCCGTCCGTCCAGTGTCCGCGGGATGGTGACACACTTGCTCGGGTGAGCGCCGTTCGTGGTGATTGCCGTGATGAGTGAATCGAGCTCATCGCGCTTCTCCTGTGAAGGAAAATATAATATGACTTCTTCAGCTAGTTACACAAGTAGCTTGGAATCACTAGCCAGGGTCTATGCTCACCACAGACCGGTACTCGCATGAAGTTACAGTAAGCAGTACAGTCCATGGTGCCAAACGTCACCGGTGGAGTGTCGAGTAAGACGGGGTCAGCGACTCCAGGGGACAGTCTAGATGACAACCCATTGAAGGGGCGACTCAGAATCGGCAGCAGAATGCAGGACAGCTAAACCACTCAGGAATAAAAGAATACTGTTTTTATAAATGTAGTCCGAACATTTTGATAGAAAGGATTCACAAAGATAGAGCCCAAAGCTTGTTGTGATAGAACACAAAGCTTGTTGCGTTGGCCCTGCCCTCTACCCTCCGATCGCGCAATTCCAGTTCCATGGCAGAATTTAGAGTCCAAAGTTTAACCCGCGCCCCACTGGGGTCTGCGTATAACTCGCCCTACTGGGGAGGCGCTATTCATAGCCCCCCTCCTAACTCCGAAACTACTGGGCCGATCGTCAAAATTCAAACGGCGTCTGATAGCCCAGGAAAAACTGTCGATCGAAACCTAATTTCATTGACCTCGAGGTCACCGATGACGTCACAGGTCAGGTCAAAGTAAAAATTATTAGCATTTTGGCTTGTTCATATTTTGGGCTCTGGCCGCCGTCTTACAAGTCAGATCAGGCTCATTTTTGTGTTACACACTTGTGAACAGATGCTCTAGATACCCTGAGGGTACCAAACTTGTACTTTGATTTTCAGGTCAGGGTCAGGTCATCACAGGTCACGGAAATATTATATTAAGCGTCGGTCACGTGACACATGTTTTATGGTTCATTTAGGCCATAGATTTCGAATTTGATGTCGTTTGTGTCATTCGAGGTCATTCTGAGTTGAATTTAGCTTAGGTCAGGTCACTTTCAGGTCAAAAAAGGTCAAATTTTAAGTTAAAATTTTTCAACAAAAAAGGTGTCTATTTGATGCAGCTTGAGCTCAGGAACACGATGGTGCTATTTATATTGGTGTACGATGTCAAATACGTACTGAAAAATTGATTTGAAAAATTTATAATTGTGATTTTTTTGCAATAATCCGGATAACTTTGCCATTTTTGAAGATATTTAGCAAAAACTTGCTACACTAAGTCATAAGCATGTGTTCTGTCACATATATTCCGTTTTTTTCGAAAAGTCAATAAGTTTTTGAAAAAATATAAAAATATAAATTTTGAATTTTATTATATATAATTTTCAAAATTTTCAAAATTTTGAAAATCTGAGATAGCAGTTTGATAGCGCAGTCTATTTTGAGTCCTCTCATGCAAAGAAATTGGATCTAGCTTAAATACTGAGCTCTTGGGAGCGATTGCCATGGTTCAATGTTTTGCGTCGAAATCGGCCGAACATGACGTCATTCTGACGTCATTTCCGGCCGACCTATGGTAGCTACGAAGTTTATATTTTGACACAAGGTGTCAAATTGATGCAGCCGAAGGTACTGAAAGTTTGGCGTCGATACGTCGAGCGGTGGTTTGAAAGTTATTGCAGAAAAACGGGAGGGGGGCTATGAATAGCCCCCCCCCCCCCCCCCAGTGGGGCGCGGGTTAACGTGCGCACATAGCCGCGCACGGCCGGTCCCCTCACTGACTTCGCCTGGCTATACGGCCTGCCATCAAACGCAACCATACCTGTCAGGAGGCCCAGTTGCTAGATAAGGTCAAGAATCATAGCACGCAAACTAAAGAGGTTACTGATTGTCAGCTTGATTGCTTTTTGGGCCCCTCTGTTCTGAACGGTGTAATGGCGGGGGTATAATAGTGGGCCACGTTTCTATTATAGAAACATCACTCCTGTCACCGTTAGCCGTTAGAAAAATATGAAACTTAATGCCGCAAATGCACTTTCGAAATCAATGTTTATTTTGGTACAGGCTTGATCCACTTCGCTCCTTGACCGAAATGAAAAACACCGTTCCAAAAGTCGCACATTGCGGCTAACGAGAGAAAATAAACTAAGAAATAAGTTTAAACATAAAGATGAAACCTTTCTTGAATGTCACTTTGACACTTGTTAATCAGTGAATGCATCGCCCTTGGCTCTGCATATTTACTTTGACTGTTTCAGAATAAGCTATAATTAATGACCCCGTTTCAATCAGTTTTTCTCATCCCAGGGCCCCCTTTTTCCTTAATTTTCTAAGCACAAAAAGGTGGCAACAATTTCGTTGCTAGGCAACAAACGCACAGTACCCCCCGGTCGCGACATCCTCCCCCACCAGTGTTCACAAGGGGGAACACGAAATAGGTCACTCGCGATACAGGCCACACGTTCCTGACACCCCTCGGTGTCTTTCACTCTGCACTTAACGACCACACCGTGTCAGCTCTGATCACTAACGGCCCATGCCGATTCTGTCACGGCTCGCGTTGACCTTACGCAGGTCACAAATGTGGGTGCTAGCCACGCGGATCATTATCAATGTCTTCGAACACAGAACGTATCCCATTCATCAAGATCAACATTACTTTCACGGTTCGTCTCACATGAACATCACATATTGGGCCAGTTGGCCGTGCACCCCGTCGCAGTGCCCGTCGCACGGATTCTCCGATGATTCCGATTTAGAGGCTTAGTTGAGACTCTCCAAGAGACACAACTTCGTTGTCGGGCGAACATACGTCCCACTCTTTGTCTTCACTTCCGCTGATCTGACTCCTCCGTCAGAGCCTGGGTAGACTCTTGTGATGCGTCCCAATTCCCAGTATCCTCTAGGACTCTGACTGTTGACGACCAAGACTACGTCGTCTATCTGCAGATTCTTCTTTTCTGCCTTCCATTTCTGTCTGTTTATCAGCGTAGGAAGGTACTCCTTGAGCCACCCTTTCCACAGATGTTCAGCGAGGATCTGAACTTGTTGCCATCTCCTCCGTCCAACAACATCAGCATCAGCATCATTGAATACCCCTGGCGGTAGTCCTTCTCTTCCATCAGATGAGCCCAACAAGAAGTGGTTAGGCGTAAGAGGTTCGGGGTCTTGAGGATCACTGCTAATGTAGGTCAGTAAATCAAAGTAAATCAAAATTTACATTGGCAAATCAACAAACCCGGAGCCCGCGCCAGGGAGTGGGTACATGTAGCGCAGGCCATGACTTACACTATCTGATCCACACATTTCAGTTGTGGTTACCAGGGTAGGGCTAGAAGAGCGCCACAGGCCAGACACTCGTCTATTAGGCGACAGTGACCCAGAGGGAGCGCGGCTCAATCGTTCCCCTGAACTAGGCTACATCCCTGCCACCAATGGAGCTACGGGATTTCAGCATACATATTACATATTGCATCATAATTGGTAGTTCAATGTTCATGGGGAAAACACACCAATCCGCTTACGACCGGTTTCGCTTATACACTAAATAAGTGATGCCCCATTCAGTAGAGGAGAGAGCCTAAGAATGGTCTAGATTTAGAAGGTACCTATATCAAATATGACGCTGCACCAGTGACGGTATAGACGGGCTTCGACTGATAAAGCCTTAGCAGAGACGAACTACGATGACAGCGCGTCCTGGCTTTCAACTTCCAAGCATCCTCCACTGGCTACCTTTTGTAGTACATATATTTGATTGAACCCTCGTCCGGCCGGACTGTGACTCGAGTCACAATACGTCCAGGGGTTTACTGAACAGCACAGATCACGGTCATCTGATCTTCACGGCGATAGCGGTATAGAGTAAAGGCTGAAACAGACTCTTTCCGCGTTCAGGAAATCGCATGCGAGAGCCTATTCAAATACATTATAATTCTTCTCGTATCAATCGCTCGCGGGAGTGTGCTTCCATGTATTTGAATAGGCTCTCGCATGCGATTTCCTGACTGCGGAAAGAGTCTGTTTCAGGCCTAAAACACTCACAATGCAGAGAAACAGCTGCCTTAAAAAGATCACCAATGGATAGCACAATCTGCTGGACATCACTGCCCAAGAAGGTACCCGAAATAAACTGACCTTGAGCTTCCTGATGAGACTCTCGATGGCCCTCTTGGAGAAGGCTTCTGACTCGCCACCCTGCCGGTGGCACATCAGACTGTGTACGATGCTCAAACAGGCATCTGAAGAGGTGAGTGGCTGCCCAGTCGGGGTGGGACTTAGCAGCATTGTGGCCACCACCGGTTTCCTGTCGAGAAGGTATCAGCCATGGTCAGGATGACATCGACTTGCAGAACAGCATCCTTGTCCTATATGTACAACAAAATTGTATGCAAGGGAGCGTTTCCTTTAGCCCGCGCCCCGCTGGGGCTTCCCCATTTCCACGCGTTGCTGGGTGGAGGCGTGTTTGAATAGGTACCCCTCTCCCCCTCTAACTCGCTTCTTGGGCCATGTAGCGACATGCCGTAGGCGGCATTCGGAAGAGCGCCAAAAATCAGGACGATATTACTTCGGCCATTTTTAGGTCAGGTTAAAGATCAGGTAAGCAGACTAGGTCATCAAAGGCCAAATTTCGGCTATTTCAATGATTTTCAACAAAACGGTGCGCCGCACTGTGGTCCCAACTAATCAAGCAATGGCATGCTATGTCATTTCGGCCTGGAACATGCCGACGTCTGGTTCAGCTCCCCATGACAGAAATGTTAGACCTTTATTTTGTATGCGGCTGTTCGGGTGAACAATCTGTAATTCTTGACCCAAGGTCCGTTCGCGACATCGTCCCGAGGACAAGGAAAGTGCAATGCAGGGGTGCAGCCAGAACTACAATCCCTTGGGGATTAACGATTAGGGACCGGAAAGTGTGGTCATAGATAAAAAGAGGTCAAAACTTTGCCGGATCCTGTACTAACTAGTTAGTACCCACTACCCAGGCTGGAAAAATATATGTTATACTGAATATGTCCGGCGTAGTGGCGGGATTGCGACAAAAATGTCAGCGTACGTCCGGCGAAACTTCGCATGCGCCGAATTCCGCGCATGGTGGCAGCAGAATGTTTCGGAGCAGGGCAGCCGCATAATTTTTTGGCAAATGACGGTCACCGAATTTAGTCAGCACGCTGGTCAATCTAGCAGCAGATTTACCCTACAGGCGGCTCTGAAGAGGGTTCGGGATGAGACGTCCCCGCCCCGGTTGCACTTTGCAGAGTGCTCAAACTGGAGAGCGGCCCTGCGTCTACTCAGCGGAGGAGCGGCCGGCCAGGTAAGGCCTCCACCCTTGGGACGGAGATGGATAGGTATGGAAGACCTTATTAAACATCGCCGAGCGTCATTAAAGAAATACTGCAGCCAGGTTCCTGCAATCCTGCCCACTGCCGTATCGAGGGGTATAAGAGCCAGGTCGACCAGGCAAAACAAGTGGCCGCCCTGCCGTCTGACGCCCGCACGCTGACCCGGATGGTTCATTGTGCGACCTCAGGTCAATGGCGCGACAACTGGTCCGAGTCACTATTCAAGCCACTTCTCGGGAGCACGCCGCCGCTCCCTAGGCATCCCTGGAGAGGACCGAGAGGACACCGTTTCGGTACACCTGGCTCCAGGTGAGGGCAGGGCCCGAGCCACTGGGGCCGCTCGCCCCAGTACCTGCAACGAATTGGCCGTCTCTACTCTGAGGCGTGCCAGCAGTGCTCAGACAAGCGGTGTCCACTGCCCCGCGCGCCGTGTGCTGAGAAGAGGCTGATGTGCCGGGGCATGTGCTGCTCTGCTGCCCGGCCCTTGCTGGCGCCTGCCAGCATCGTACACAGTCACACCGCTCCGCCGATTTTTGTGGCCGCAGAATTTCCGGTAAGGGCCTTGCTTCACGGCACGGCGGTACAGTGTGTTAAGCGTGGCCCTGTTCGGTCGCTGTTTTTATATCAGCGTGCTGTCGGTTTTCCCCATATAAGGAAGTTATTGCTGGCGCTTCTTGGCCTCTTATTGGTCTGACCACTTGAATTCGACCAATGAGGAGCCAAGAAGTATCAGCATGCACACAGCCTGCTGATAAATAAACGGGGGTGAACAGAGCTTGTATTGTGGTATGTATTGGGGTTCTGCTGAAATATAAACTTATTCGGACGCTCAAACATGGGAGTGTCCAAGGCCCCTGGATGCTCTATCTGGTAGATACGGGCGTCCGGCGTAGTGTGGATGTTTTCCAGTCAATAACTACTAACCATGAATTTCTTCATAGAATGATGGCCATATTATGCGAATTAGCCCATGTCTTAAAGACGGACGCTCAAACATGGGAGTGTCCAAGGCCCCTCAGCAGTGGCGGCGGAATAGGGGGTGCAGGGGGTGCAGCTGCACCCCCATCGAAAAACATGGAGGTGCAAACATATCTTTTTGCACCCCCAAAATCCGTTCAAGGGGCCCGTCGCACCATCCAATACATTTCTCCTGAAAACCAGTGATCGGGAAACGAACACTGATGTGGAATCATCCGGGATGTCCAATTATGGTCAGGAACGCCCCATGCTAGTCTTTGGGGCCCCCACACCGGCTAGAAGTGTCCCGAGCCGCGTTTGGTGCTCCACGCGGTATCTGAGGGCCCCACGATGGCCTCAGAGGGCCCTTTTATGACGATCTCTGAGGGCTCCCACTTGAGGGCTTTGTCCCCTGGGGCCCTATAACGGTCACTAAGGGCCCTCATGACGACCGCTGAGGGTCCCACAGAGACTCCAGGGCCCCAAGGAGACTCCAGCGGCCACGCTGGCCTCTGAGGGCCCCTATGACGGCCTCTGAGGGCCCTTACGATGATCTCTGAGGGCTCTCACGACGAACTCTGTCCCCTGGGGCCCTATAACGACCACTAAGGGCCCTCAGGACGACCGCTGAGGGTCCTACAGGACTCCAGGGGCCCCACTGGCCTCTGAGGGCCTCTACGACGGTCTCTGAGGGCCCTTGTGACGGCCCTAGACCCAAATCAAGTCTGATGGTCCATTTGGCTTCAGACGACCCATAAAGACCCTCAATATGGCCAAAGACCCTCATGACGACCTCTGGTGATCCTCTCGAAGGCATCTAAAGGCCCTCACAACAACTTCTGAGAACCCCAGGACGGTCCCTGAGGGGCTGAGGGCTCTGACGACGACCTCTCTGGGCCCTCACGATGGTCTCTAAGACCCAGCGCAAGCTCCAAAGGCCCACACTGCCTGGCGTCTGAGGGTCCCACGACGGCCTCTGAGGGCCTCGACGGAGGCAGGCTCCAGGGGCCATGCTGACCTCTGAGGGCCCTCTTGACGGCTTCTAGGGCCTAACGAAGGTTTCAAGGGCAAACGCTGGCCTCTGAAGAACCCTACGAGGGCCTCGGAGGGTCTCAACTCAACGCAGGCAGGTGCCAGGAGACATGCTGGCTTCTGAGGGCCCCGCAGAGTTCAGATTCAGATGATCCATCGACCTTTGTGGACCTTACGAAATACGAAGGTTTCCGAGAGCTCACGCAGGCTCCTGGAATTCCACACTGATTCTCAGGCCCCATGTCGGCTTGTTGAGGCACTTTATCTGCTCTTGGTGCCCCGTCGCCGACCTCTGAGAGTCTCAATGTCAGAACTTATGGGGCCATGGGCCCTACACCGGCTTTTATGGCCCCTACATCGACTCTTGGGACTCATGACCCATGAAATGTGGGTCTAAGCGGCTTCTAAGAATCCCCATGCTGGTTCTAGTAGCTGCCAGCCGAATATTAGGTTAGGGCTCACACGCGAGCTACTGGGACCCCGTGCATACCCCAGGGGTCTACCTGCCTCTAAGACCCCACACATACTTTTGGGGCTCAAACGTTTGCCCCTGAAGGCCCCACTGAGACCCCTTTCCTCTATTCAGTCCTCCATACCAGCTCTTTAGGCTAAACATCGGCTCCTGTGGCCTCCATCCCGGCTTTGGAGGGCCTCCATATACAGGCTTTTTTTGGGGTCCGATGCCGGTTTCTGAGAGCCCTCAAAAGACTTTCGAGCCTATACTGCCTTCTGAAACCTTTCAGCAACTTTCAAGGGACTGACCCTGATCGGAGGGCTCATTCAGTCTGGGGAGTCATGTAGTTTTCTGGAGGAGTCTCTATGTGGTCGGTTTCCAAGGGGCTTCTAAACACGGTCTTCTTGGAACGGTCTCGTAGGGCCCTCAATGGTCCACTGCGGATCCAGAAAAAGTGGTTTGAGACACTGTGGGTGGTGGCTAGACTAAAAGATTAGCCGATAAAAACTAGCTGCATTTGCTTCTTTTTGCTTTCATTATTTGAGACAGGTAGGTAGGTACACTGCAATTTCAAACCTTTTACAGAACTTGTGTGTATGGGGAGAGTTTTCCAAACTCTTCGTTTTTCATAAATAGTCAATAAAAATCACTAAAAAAAACTGAAGGGGGCCCAAAACTTCCAGAGGGGCCCCTTGAGAAAACTTTGCACCCCCATCCAAAATTACCTTCCGCCGCCACTGGGCCCCTGGGAATTGATGGGAAACAAACATGGGAATTGATCCCTAATGCAACTGTCCAAGCGCCTGTTCATCCAAAAAAACATTTTTAGAAAAGTGCTTCAGCAAAAGTAAAAACTTGTGAACTGTCAGCTGAAAAGGGTAGATGAAAAGCATCAAGCAACAACTAATTAGCAATTCCCGACTGGAAAAAATGCACGCTTTCGTCGAGAACTCGAGCGTAGTTGGGCGTTTGCGCCGAAATTTTTCGGCGTACTTCGGCGTAAATCGACGGCTTGCGCCGAAATTTTCGGCGTAGGTACTTCGGCGTAAATCGACGGTTTTCTCTATCCCTCTATCGCAAACGGATCCGGAGCAGTCGCGAAAAACCCGTCAGGGGGTGGCACCAACCCCCCTCGGCCGGCGAGGGTTAAATATCTTCGGGAGTTAAACATCTTAAATATCACTTATCTTGTCTCGTGTTCGTCTCAGGGTATTTAAGTCATGTTCAGTGAACCTGATTGCGACTCTCCCACGGCGGGAACAGTTCACCGATCGAGAGTGAGGTTATGGATTGTCGGATCCCCTAGTTCAGATAACGTATGCTATCGTTTGCGTATTGACCGTTGTGATTCCTGTATTTCCGGCGTGTGGTTTGCGAGCGGACGCTGACAATCGGTCCCGCGTGGCCTGGTATCTGCCCGATCCCATCGGCCGTGCTTGCACCACGCCTGTTGAAGGCCCCGTCAGGCGTCAGTCACCGGCTGGGCACATACTGCTGATCAGAGCCGGGCAACAAAATAAAGGTTACGCTATGGAACATGCCAGTGAGTTTGTGAGTCAGGAGATTTTGTGATAGCGAACGCTGGTGCTCGGTCCCGCATGGCCTGCTGATGTCTATTGTCTGCCCGATTCCGTCGACCGTGCCAACAACCGTCTGTAGACAGTAGTCACTGGAAAACAGCCACACACACACCCCAGCCCCCCCCTCGACGAAAAGTGCGTGGCTACAGCCTGCAGCCATCAGTAAGCCTTGAAAATTTTCGGCGCATGCAGGGCTGTCTCATCCCTATCTCCGTAACGTGTCGTGTGCGACCAATGACGTCACGGCATTGCGGCGTTCTGATTGGGCGGCAGCTCTGAATCGCCCGGCTGGTGGTCCCCGCTCGACAAGCGCACGTGCGCCGACTAGACATTTGTAGTCGCATTGACGGCAGAAAAAGTGAGGTAATGCAGAGCTCTGAATATACTTGAATAGTCTAAGCCGTTAGTAATACTTAAAAACGTCAAATAGGTTTCTTGTTCGTCTTGATTTGAGCTTTTATGTGATATAACCTTTACCTTAGTGTCGAGGTTGGCAGCTATGTGGGAGAGCACTAAAGTTGGGTCATTTTCCATAGGATTGCATTACAGCCGTCCGACCCTTCGTACCAGTGACGTCACGTCACGGAAATCGCTGCTTCGGCCTAATGAGCATACCTTCTATATAGGGCCTTGCGGCGCATGAAGCATGGCTTGGTAAAATAATTTCGGCGCATAAACCCTTGCGCCGAAATTTCGGCGCATCAACTCCGCCGAGAACTTCAGCGTAGTGGAGGCATTTTTTCCAGTCGTAGCATGACATGACCAGTGACTACTGTTTTCCCTGCCCACGGTCCACTTAAAGAAACGCTGAACTAAGTCAACTTACCGGGCGATATTCGAGGCGAGAGATTTCAATCTTGTTTTGAATAAATGAATTTTAATACCGCGTATTTTTCATCCTTCAGCGCCCCTTCAGCTGCCTCGCTCCAGCCGCTCCAGCTACCCAGCTACCTACCTCTCTCTCTGTCCGAACGACGGTTTTCATAGGGCCTGTTCCAGCGCCTCCAGAAACCTCCAGAAAGCTCCAGAAAGCTCTAGAATCCTCCAGAGAGCGTTCCAGCGCCTCCAGAAAGCTCCAGAAAGCTCTCGCCAAAGCTCCAGAAACCTCCAGTAGCCTCCAGAGAGTTGAGAGGTCCAAATTTCTCTGGAGGCTCTGGTCTACAATTATGGCGCACATGTGACAATCACGAATGTAAACAAAGGACATTTGACTGATAATTTTACAACTTGAATGTAAAGAAAATTACATTGCTATAATTTTATTTATCTTTTTAACTAAAATTGAAAACAAATTTTGCCTTTCAAGAGAGAACAATCGTCATTCTTTTGGTATCTATGACGCCAATCTCCAGAAATCTCCAGATTGCGTTCCAGCGCCTCCAGTAAAACCTCTGGTAGAGCCTCCAGTCAAGAATTTCTTCTGGAGGCGCTGGAACAGGCCCATATATACCCTGTTCTATATACCCTGGTGAAAACAGGGCGCCTGGGGCGATTTGATCAAGGTTCGTGAAATTCACATGTGACGTTTCGTATGTAGAACTGTAGAAGGCCCATGGAGGGGGGAGAAGTTCCAAATATCACGTGACTAATATGCCCTCCGGCGCCCTGTTTTCACCGGCGTCCCTCTTTTCGATACCAAGAGTATACCAAGAGTAGCCATATTTGTTTCCCTTTATTGATGAAGGTAATACTTTGCTATTATAAATGAAATTTCATTATAAATTAAATTTCTCACTTCGAAATACAAGCTATTTAAAAAGAATCCATAATGAATCACTTTAAAAGCAACTAACGTGACGATTTCGCTAGTAAATAAATTTTTTATTTAAAGTAGAAAGACGATATCTATGGATCGAATGTGATTTATCCTTTATTCCTGAATTTGGTAGCTATTTTTACTATTCGTTTACGGTGCATTGTTTACAAAATACACGCAACGTGCGCGCGCTGCACGCCGGTTTATCAAAATCAAGATGGTACCACTTTTTCCTATTTGAATTTGACACCTTCATCCAAGGCTATATATAAGGCCACAAAGCCTTCATCTCTCGGATTTTTACGAAATTTCGTCATAGGGGTAATCGGGGGTTCTGAATCCACCTCAACCTGTAACCATTTGAGGCTGATCAGGTAAGTATTTTTTTTACTCATAAGGTATAACCTTTTTTATCTTGCGTTGCAAAAGGGTCGCAATCGATCCCTCGGGTCAATATCTAGCCGCAGCCTCGGGTTCCAGATGTGTGTATCTTACCCCTTCCTTACCCCTTAAATCGACCCTTAAAGGGACTATCCCACCTTTAACATGGGGTATGAGTTGAGATAGCCAAGTTTGCGGCGAGGTTCAGAAACCACTATCTATCTAGGTTGCAACCCCCGCGGCCTCTTGGTGTTGAAGAAATTCGTTCCCTTCATTTGAAAATGGGCCTTGTACAGTAGGTCTATTAAAAAAGTCCCCAGCACCAGTGGGCGCTGCCTTCGCTGAGCCGAACCCCCGTCTGCCTGTCCCATATCGCGCCGGGCTCAGGTCAGGTAGGGTCAACGGGACCGCTCGGTCCGGCCCGCGGGCGGTGGACGGGCGGCCGGTAACGCTTTCCGCCAGCCAGCTGTAGAATCCAACAAACGGGACGGCCACCGCTCAGCGCAGCGAAACCGGTGTTGAAGAATGGCAGTAGATGTTCATGGCCACAATGATTATGAGATAGTCATTGTTAGCCCGTGCCCCACAGGAATGCCTAGACCAGGGGGGTACGCTCCGGCTGTTTAGCATTATGAAAAATGGTGACAGACGTTTGTGGAGGATTGTCGACGAACTCTTGTTCCGTGAGCAGTACTTACACGCTAGCGGAAAATTCACCAATCAGCGCTCGGCGGTACTCGACGCTGATTGGTCCGACGCTCGTGACGAAATTGCGGGGGACCGCAGTTATTCTCTATGGACCCGAATAGGCTTTTGGATTTCGGAGGGGTTTCTTTAAAATTATATGCTGTTTCGAGCTGTTTTCGAGTTGAAATATATTTCTTATGACTGTTACCTATATAATGGCACCATAAAATCATGATTTTGATAAATATTACCGATGAAATATCGGCCGAAAAGACATACTGTCATGGTACGGACTGCCCTGCGGCTGATGTGGGGTCCCTAATGCCAGCGTATGGTAATAATGGGGTGACGAAGGGTTATTGGAGACTCTTAGAGCCCCATCAGCATTCAGCATAGGGTCATCAGAGGCCGGGAACGTCCATCAGGGGTCTGAGTAGGCCTGTCATAGGGGCATACATGACACATCATGGCCCATGGGTCAATGTAGATCCATGGGGCCGTTGAAGGGCCATCATTGTTCAGCGTGGGCTCGCAATTACCTCTGATGGGCATATGCCGTGCCCCGATGGACTAACGCTGGCCCCTGATGAACCATCACCAGCCCCTGATAGGTCTACAAAGCCCACTGCTGGGTCTAAATTGGTCACTGATATGCCCAAATGGGCCACTGAGAAACCCGTACAACATCCCCTGACTGCACCTGCTGGACCAGTGCCGTCCTCTCATGGGCCCACCACAGCTCTTGAATGACCTTTTCAAGTCCCTTGAAGTGCCTTTATTGGCCTAAATGGCCCCTGATTGGCTTATGTGGTCCCTATTGGTCCTATATGGCCCCCATGAGCCCTCAACGTCCCTAGACGGCCTTACATTATATGTCACTGGGCCCTGTTGGGTCAGCACCGGCCCCTGATAGGCTTGCACTGGACCCACCGGGCCTATACCGACCCATGAAGGGCCTATGTCGAGCCCTCATGGGCCTCCGATGACCACACGCCGGCATGTGTGGCCCCATCAGCAGTGGTCCGTCTATCCCATGTACTTACGGTCTTTTTGGTCGATGTGACACCGGTAGTATATAGAAATGTTATGATTAAATGTCGTTATTACACAGTCAAAAGTCACAGAAAGAATATCCAAGCTCAAAAATGGCCTCAAACCCAACAAAAACTGGTATAAATCCCCTTCAAAAGCCGTAAGTCTATTAAACGCCATAGGGGAATAGCTGCAGTCCCCCGCAATTTCGTCACGAGCATCGGGCCAATCAGCGTTGAGTATTGCCGAACGCCGATTGGTCGATTTCCGCTAGCCTGTAAATGCTGCTTGCGGATATAGTTTTGAACAAAAGAGGGTCGCGGCTACTAATTATCGCTTGTCACCACTTTTTCGTCGGGAGCGTTCTACCTGGTTTATATAGCCTTGGCCACGGATCACATAACGGATCGGCAACTCCCCCCCGCGACCTGTCTCCCCTGCCACCTGGTGGGCATTTAGGTGAACTATCTTCACTAAGGAAGCGGCCGGCCTCGTGCGTGTTGAGGGCGTCGTGTCGGAGCTAATTAAGTGATTTTTCTGCGGAACATGGTTTCTCAGCTAGCTCAGAAGATACCTATGGTATAAATGAGAATGGCAAGAATCGTTAGAGACAGGTTAAGTATTTGAGATCGTATCCTTTGTCATGAAAATCGTTGTTTTCATACCCACGTGGGCGACCTAGCGTCCATCGCTAAATTGGTAATTTTCCGATCGCTGTCATCTCTTACATATATTTCATGAGTACATTTTTGATAAATATTCATCTGCCGATTAAATTAAATCTATAACTTTCACAAATATCCTACTTGCATAAAGTATAAACCCACGCCGGGCCGGTACACGGTACCAACCGCGCCGGGCCGAGGGTGTATGAAACCCCCGCCCCCTCCTAACTCGGCTTCTGGGCTACGTAGCCACACGGGGTAAGCGGCATTCCAAAGGGCGTAAAAATAATGGCGGAAATACTTCGGTCATTTTTTTAGGTCAGATCAAAGGTCGGGTCACCAGAGGTCATTAAAGGCAAATTTTGTCTATTTCAACAATTTTCGAAACATCCGACGCATAACTTGGGAACCAACAGAACTACAGAGGCGCGGAAAAGCGCATTCGATAGCTCTTTCACAGGTCCTTCTGAGTTTTATTCACAGATTTAACCTCAGGTCAACGGTTTAGCGTCCAGAGAGCAAAATCTCCAAAAATAGCCGTGTTTACGAAAAACGTTTTTTTCGGTAATATCTTTTGACTCAAACGAGCCACGACATTACTTTTGCCAGCATCGTGTTCCTCTCGTCGAGACGCGTCGAATGAACTATAGGTTGACCTTGAAAGGTCATTTTGAAAATCTTACGTCAGGTGAAGGTCATGACCTGACCGGAAAGGGTCATTCTGCATATCAGTCGATCCGTATCGTCGAGCTGAACACATCTGACGTGTTTTCATCGCTCTAGCACGTCTCTATCAAAAGTTATAGTAAAAAACTGCTGGTGAACGTTTTTATTCCACTGTTTACATACATGTAACCCGATGTTTGAGGGTGTTAAGGATGACCCGCCCAGACCAAATGAGACGCCTTTCAATTTGCTCTTATTGAATTATTATTAGTATTACACATATTATTATGCATATAGAGAGAGAGAGAGTATTGAGTATGCGGCAATATATAGGGTGCAAAATGACCTGACCTGGCTCTAAGCCACAGATATTTTGAGATGTCTGATGTAACACGTGGCTAAACCAGCCTCGGGGCCAAAGCTATACGAGCACTGTTTAGCAGCACGCTGTTACCCAGTACCTAGCATCATCAGGTATGGGTGCCTCCGTTCCTATGGAAACGTAAGCAAACTTCACAATGTTGCCAACGTCTTAATGGAAACCGGCTAAGTGTCAATACCTTGTAGCGGCGGGGAGGGTCGTATCGTGAAACAGGGGCCGAGATCCACCTATAGTCACGTTAATGGCCAGCTCGTTGGATTTGCTCCGATGTTATCTACTCCAACTGGTAGCCTGTGACCATCGAGATAGGAACAGAGGATGAACTCGTACTATGGGCAGACGGATGAGGAAAGGTGGCTTCGTGTACGGCCAAAAACGACGTTAAAGTTGCGAGGACGTGGTTCTTGCTCATACAACTCAAGCATGACTAGAAACATTTGTATCATTATGCATGCTCCAGCTGATTAGGGAATAAAGTATGTAACATTTCCATGTTATGGTAACATTCCAGCTGTTAGAGAGACTCTGTAATTTAATCCGTTCACAACCTTTGATTGTTTTTGTTTCGTTGGGTTAGGCCCTTTCGGTCCATTGAGACCATTGCAGAGCCGGAAGGATTATAGGAATTGGGGGAAACATTGGTATGGACAGGCACCCTAGAGAGTCACCGGGGCTGAGCCCGTCCCAATGGACAGGACGACCAGCCCCCCAAGCACTCTCTGCACCCGGCTACGGGTGTGCTCCCTAGGGAGCAGTGGTGCGCTTCAAGGGAGCAGCCCGCATGAGATAAAGTTGCCTGTCCAGTCCGGATCGAGAGTTGCTGCGTGGAGGAGAAGGATTTGAACTTGATCTGAACATCCTGAGGATGTAAACGACGGACGGGTGTTGCGTTCACACCCGTTTCCCCGTGCCTTTTAACACTGGTTGCGGCGGGCGGCCGGCTCCCCTCCTTAGTGAAGATATCCGCGCCGCTAGATGGCAGCCCGCTCCGCGGGTACACCGATAACAATGGGAAGCGGGGAGAGTTGCCGATCCGTTAGGTGATCCGTGCCTTGGCCTAGACTCTCACGGCCTGTTGGAGGGGAAATGGGGATTGAGCATCATTCTTTTAACTCAGCTTTGGGCATTTAAGTGATATTCGAAGTAGCGTCAAAAGTAGCAAAAAGAAGAAAAAAAATACTTCAGCCAACTTTGGATCGGGTCATTACCAGAGGTCATGTCACTAGAGGTCATCGATGGTAAAATTTTCCTAGACAGGGTGCGTTGCGCGCACCGGTGCATTGGGTTTCCGATTTCCATGGAAACATCAACAGACTCGGAAGCTCGCAACAGGGGCGCGGGAACTACTTTCTGACTACTTTCTGATTGCACCATAATAGAGATCAACCTAGAGTCCCCCCAAATCTAGTTTTCTCACCGGTTTTAGGCCACTTATTTTTCATCCCTCGGCTTTTTCAACAAAAAAAAAAACATTTGCAAAAAAGTGTGGTATTCCGTCTCAAAGCTGTGGGGGCAACACCCCCACGGCCCCAGAGTTGGGGGGGCAAGCTGCCCCCACTGC